CTCTTTTGCTAAGGCAGAGATCTTATCTTTTTATACCTTGTTACCTTGCAGCTGAGCCAACGTGCTCTTCACCATCTGTTCAAGGTAACCCAGAAGATGCAGCGAATGCAGTGACTGCGTTGCTTGTTTAGCAATGAGTCTTGACAAGAGCTTGTTGCACATCTTCTTGAGGGTCTGCACAAGACCATGCTCAAGGTACAAATCGATGTACTAACTTAAAGTAGTCAAATAACTTGGAGCCTGGAGCCTCAAGAAGCAACTCTTCTCTTTGTGTTGCAGTATGATGACCTTATGAAACTGGATCCTGTATATTGCCAAGCCACAGTGTGCACTCTGGAGGTGGCAGTTCTTAGAGAAGGTTCTTAACCTTGCTTTCCAGGGCAGAAGTGTAACACATCCTCAAGTCATATGGCAGAGCATTTTTATTTTTTTTTCCTAGTAGGCCTATTTTGGGAAAATGGGCTAGAGAGTCCTAGATTAGCTTTAGTATTTTGGATGCTAGTCCTACTTTTGTGCATGCACCCAGATGAATTTATCTTCAAGTTTTGATACAAATGCAGTACCCGGAGTTTTAAAAGCACTGGATAACAACAGCCTATCTGAATATCTCCCAAGAATAAAGGACTCCAAGCTGGCAAAGGAAGGCTTAACAGGAGCTACTGTCTGCAATCTGAAGCCAGACACATTCAAATTAGAAATGAAGTACAAAGTTCTAATGGAGAGGGTGATTAACCACTAGAATGAACTAGAATGGATGGATCCTTGGTCTCTTGCTGTTTTTGAGGCAAGATGCTTTCTGGACATAAGTTAAGTGAGGTAGCAGCTTTGTTTTACTTTACACTGGCCTCAGTGTAGAGAAGGTGAAGCAGATGAAATGTGACAGCCCATGTTTATAGACACGTGCATATGCACATGTGCAGACACACATGCACAGAGTCCAGCCAGAAGATCTGACGGTTCCTGCAGACCTTAAGCTGTACATTAAGTAAAAGACTTAGAACTTTGAAATCTTTGTCCCTTCTAGGAGAGGATTGGTTTGTAATTATGCATGGAGTTGGGAATCTGCCTTTATTACGAGTTCAGCACTGGTAGAGCTTCATTCTCAGGGCTGAATTTCTTCACCATCCGATGCACCAGATTAATCAAGCTGAAACTTGGTGGTTCTGCATTTCAATAGCTGGTAAAGTAATAGTCCTGTTGTCATAGTGGGGCCTATGTCCTCAAGCAGATACCATGTTCAGCCACAGATACTGTCCTGTGTGACTTTAAGTAAGAACGTAGCCCCTCTGTTCATGTTTCACTTTTGACAAAATGGTGATGTTTCTCTTCCTCAAGGACAAAAGCTTTTAATTTGTTATTTGTAAAGCCCTTTTTAAGAACTTACCAAGGAGGGTATAAGTGAAATACAAAGTGATGGCATTAATTTTTTTACTATGTGACTCACTCAGAAATTAAAAGGGAAAATGAATTTCTCTTCCAAATAAGTGATAGCAGCCCCATCTTTACCAAATGATTTCCTGCTTGCTTCTGCAGGGCGTTGTGGATCAGGGTGAACTATACTTCAAAACATTTAATTGCATACAGTGAGAAATGAAGAAAGCTGAAGTGGATCCCAAGAATGTATTAAAAATCTGAACTAAAATGAGAATGATTTCATGTCAAGTGAGACAAATGCAGAGTTGATACTCCAGTGCTTCACACTTCCACTTGTCCTTGGCACCGAGAAAATGAGATTTTTAATATCTGAAAAACAGATTGCCATGAAGACTCATCCATTGTAAATTTAAGCTGCCTTTATAGCAACTTAAGCTGGGGACAAGATTGTTCATTACATCTGATTCTACAACTGTGGCCATGATTTCCATATTAATACTGAATTTTTTTATTGTCTGTACCAGAAATAGGAAGGGAAGCTAGTAGTGTTTTCCCTGTGTTAGAAGATAATTTATTTAATGAATAATGCGAAAAGGGCAAAGGTTTCTAAGTTCTTGCTTGCATATCAACTATAGGTAGTAGTGACACCTGCCTTTGCTGCTGTGGTCAAACCTGGTTTGGTGGTTCGGTTTATGCTAAAAGGAAACTGAGGGAAAGGGGGGTGTTGGTGCGTGATTTCAGAATCGTGATTTGTTGTTGGCAGTAATTAGGTTGTTTTGGGTTGAAATTTTTTGACTAAAATTGTAGGCGAGGGGTTGCTTGTTTCCCATCTGATGTGCCCTTAAATTACAAAAACATTTAAGCAACCTTTACATGCGTATGGGGGCAGGGAGCGTATTTCTATGCCACTGAACTTTAGACCAAGGTTGAGTCAAAGACTATTTGTAACCCTTTTCAATAGCAGCTGTTCTGTTCTGGCATCAGACATAGGAAGCACTAGCTTCCTCTCCTTTCTGTGTAGCTGCATTTGCTTTCACAGGTCCAGCTACCCAGGCAGACCTGAGGTTGCCCCGACCTGCCTTACTGCTTGGTTCTCTCTGTGACAGTTTGCGATTGCATTCAGACTGTAATACTGCCGCCTCAACCTTTAACATAGCCAAAATGGAGAATTTCTCTTATTTTCTCATGAACTCTCTCCTGAACTTTTCTCATGAAATGCTCTCATCCTCTGTCTGCGCTCACAGATTTGGAGTCTCTTGGAAAAGTTCCTTCTTCCTTCTCTGTTCACGTCCCAGATTTGGTCTAGATCCTAATGGCTCTTCATTTATAACATCTGAGGTCTGTACCATTTTTTTTCATCCCCATTAGTATCACTATTATCATTGTCCTGCCTTTGTCATCTCACACCTGAGTTACTGCAGCCTTTTCTTTGGCTCTCTCTCTCGTCTCCTCGTGTTCCAGTTTTAATACCGCGTTTCATGATGATGGAAGGTGATCTTTTCTTTCCTTTCTGGGTTCTGTTCTTTGCTTCTTCCACGCACCTTACCCTGGAAGCAAATCCTCCTCTGAGGAATCCAGTTCTCTATTGTTAGCCTCTCTGACCTTCAGAAAGTTTGTATATGTTTAAGTCTAATTTGTTCCTCTTTGAAAAACAAAACAGCTGTCTGTATTAAACTCCAAATTTGGCAATAAGTCAACAGCATGATCTCATATTTTTTGTGACTGCTTCGGGGAATATGTTTTTAATGTAGTTAAGAGATTTAACAGAGAAGTATTTTGGTGTAGAACTGTCTTTAAAAGGTTTGGGGTGGCTGACTGTGAGGGACTTGTGTGTTTGTCTTTTCCATCCATCAGTACTTCGGTGATGCGGTTTCTCTCCAATGCCACAGTACGTGACCTGTGACAGTCTGCTGGGACCACTCCTCTTGTCTGTGGCCTTGCTCTTGGCGATCTCCTTTCCTGGAGAGGAACACGGCAACTCGAGACCTAGACATACGGGCCAAATTAATTGTTTTGGAAGTGGCAGCAGCCGGCTCTCAGCAACTCCCCTCCCCGAAAACACCCAGTGCTTTCCTTTGCCACATCTGGGTGGGAGCAGTCATGTTGGGCGGGCTTAAACCCCTGGGAAAGCTGGTGGCCAGAAGGTGACTGCTGCTACTTCTGGAACAGCTCATTCAGCCCAGCCTTTTGCCCTGAGAGTTACTAAGTCTTTTCGCGAAGGGAAAAAAAAAGAAAAAAGCCACACAAACGACGGCCTGAGAGTTACTAAGTCTTTTCGCGAAGGAAAAAAAAAAGAAGAAAGCCACACAAACGATGATGTAGTCTGTGTATGCCCAGTGGACTCTGTCTGGAACAAGTGCAGTTCTTCCCCAAAGACTCTAGCAGGTGTGGTAGAGGAAGAGTCACTCCATGGTGTCTGGACCAGTCTTAACTACTGAGAAGAGCCAAGATGTGTCCGTCTGCAAGGCTTGGTTGCTAGTATTACAGACATCTCTTTATGGCAGAGTAAATTATCCTATGCAAATCCCTGTGCTACTCTACCCACTTATTTTCTATTCCAGCTCACATATGCCGATAGCCTGAAGTGTAAATATTCTCTCTAGTTCTTTCTGCATCTACCTGGATATAATATCCTGCCTTTCTCTTCCTCGTTGGTTAACAGTTTGACTTTTTGAAGTACTTTCCGTCCATGTTCGTTTGCGGAGAAAGGCATCAGCAGTGATAACTAAAGAAAATTCTATTAGGTCATTCCTTTTCAGAACATAGTACCTGTCTTCTAAGCTCTTGGCGGATGTTAGCCAAATAATCCTTTTAATAGCTTTTGTGAGTTAAAAGGGTAGGTAACTGTCATAAGGCTAAATGATTGCATAGATTAATTTACTTGTGGCCAAAAGAAATCAATTGTAATTTAAATTTTTGTCTCTGTACTGATTGCGCTACCAGACATCAGCCTTCTCCTTGGGAATGTACCATGTGAATTGAAATATATGTCTGTGATTATATGTGGATCTGGATTAGTTACAGATTATCCAGAGTAATGTGATTGGACATTTCCAGTTTTTAACCTGTGGATGTACAGGAGCTCAGAATACTCAGCTAGTTGGCCTTGTTTAGATCTGTGAAGTATCCATTAATAATTTGAGTCATTATAATTCATAGGGTGTTTGGATGTAGAAGAATATTTGCCAGACTGTAAGACCATGGGTCTGTTGCAAACCGTGTCAAAGCTCTCACTGAAGGAAGGCAAAGTGAAGAAAGAGGGTGAGGCTTTAATTGGCCATTTAAAAAAAGAATAAATTGAAAGATGATATAAGAAAATTCAGTGGTTCCAGGGAGCATTTTTCTTAACCATGGGTATATTTAGTGATTGGTATACATTCTACTGCCTTTTAGCAGAGGGATGGATTGGGTGATTGAGAAGGATCCTGAAGGCGTCTGTCTGATTTTGTTTCTTTATTTGTTTGTTTTTAATGAGAAATGATTTGGTGCTACTGCCTGGTGAAACTGCCGTAAGGTTGCCCTCTGTAAGCCAATTGTATAATTGTAGGTGGGCTAACAAGAAGTCAGAATGTATTTGCCTTTCATAGAAATCTCAAATGTTCTTGTGTCTTTTCATTGTGTCTTACAGAATGGTGAATAACACTGAAGACCCTCAAGAGGCTTTATAACGTCCCATCCCCATGTAAAGTATGCTCAGAACTTTTCCAGTAGTGTAAGTACAAACTAAAAGAATCTACAAAAATTAAGAGTTGTTTGGTGGGTTTTTTTGTGTTAAATTCTTGAAAAAGAGCAGGGTAATGGTTACAATGACTATCAGAAGTTGGCTAAATTGGAGAATTCCACTGGTTTGGTATTTGCTAGACATTTAAACCAGGGAACAGTAGCATTTAATTCCTCACTTGGTCTGGATAATATGTTGTTTGTACTTCTGCTTTCTTGTCACTGAAGGAGAAGGAAAATCATGCAGTTCTTAGAAAGTCAAGTCTTGATCAGAGAAAAGGTAGTGTTAAGAGAGCTCTTCCGTACATCTACGGACTGTACTAGAGAGATACCAGAGCTGTGCAAGAGAGTTTAGCGCCACTACAGGCTTGGTGAAAGGGGATGAGTACACCGTTAACACAGTATTATGTAGCAAAGGCAGAAAACCTGAGGTACTAAACCTAACATTAGAATTGGATGTGATGGTCCAAGCAACCACTGCTGTATTTTGAATCCTAGTACAAATTGAAGTTGTCTAAATCTCATCATTTTAAATGACTTCTATCATGAATCTTCAGTGTAATTGGTATCCATGCTGTTCTTCAGTAAATAAGCAAATTAATTCAAAGTTTGAAGCTTGTCAGGCTGAAAGGAAAAGCTTGACCTGTACTGTGCTGTCATCCATCTGTGTCACTGACCAGTCCTATATCACTGTTCCCCATGCCTCTTTTATAGGCATGACCAGATGTTTGTCCACTGGCAATCGGATTCTTGAGAAGCTTTGACCTCTTGACTTCTGATTGTACCTTCTGTCAGACTGAGTTGGAAAGAGAAATCCTATCTACAGAATAGGTAGCAAGAAACTGGGCTGCTGTGAACACGGTCAAATTTTCCCAGTTGGGAATATTTCAGGGATGAAGATTATTCGTCTAGTGCATGGACATTCACAGTGCAAGTGGCTGTGCAGTCAGACTTCTGTAGAGGGAGTCTGTTGTGGTTTAACCCCAGCCGGCAACTAAGTACTGCAGCCGCTTGCTTACTCCCCTGCCTCACCCTGGTGGGATGGGCAGGAGAGTTGGAAAAAGGTAGAACCCATGGGTTGAGATAAGAACAGTTTAGTAATTGAAACAAAATACTATAATAATAATAACTGTAATGGAAAGGGAGATAGCAAAGAAAGAGGGAGGAATAAAACCCAAGAAAAACAAGTGATGCACAATACAATTGCTTACTACTCGCTGACCGATGCCCAGCAAGTCCCTGAGCAGTGATTGTCATCTCCCAGCCAACTCACCCCAGTTTCTGTACTGGGCGTGACGTTCTATGGTATGGAATGTCCCTTTTGCTGGTTCGGGTCAGCTGTCCTGGCTGTGCTCCCTCTCAGCTTCTTGAGCACCTCCTTGTTGGCAGAGCCTGGGAAACTGAAAAGTCCTTGACTTAGAGTAAGCACTGCTTAGCAACAACTAAACCATCCGGGTGTTATCAACATTATTCTCATGCTACATCCAAAACCACAGCACTGTACCAGCTACTAGGAAGAAAATTAATTCTATCTGAGCTGAAAGCAGGACAGAGTCACAGCAAAAACTTAACGACTTCCAGGGGTTTTGTGTTGGAAACTAAACTACCAATGTGTTTCAAAAAGAGTTCTTGATAAAATGATTAATTAATTAGTTATTTTCTATTGCTGGTGGCTTAGTCTTCTATTCAAAACTAGTGGTTTCCTACTTACTTGCCAGTCCCCTGAGCCACCTCCTCTTCTTTCTTTTAGCTGGAAATATGTTGGATTTCAGTATTAGAATCGCCACTTGAAATTGTAAAGATCTAGTTCACAGCAGGAAAGAAGTCTGGAGGTAAGGCCACATTGCCCTGTGCATCTTTATTATACTGGTAATTCAGTTTGCAGAGTGATCTTAGAGCTCCTCTGTGCTTTGTTTGAGCACAAGGACAGTCTGTGAGCTTTAACTTTGACTCAGACTTTTAACATAAATTTCCAAACTGTGAATTATATAGTTTTAATTTCCTGTGCTTAAGCTAGGTTTCAGTCATGTTCTGCCCCTGTGCAATTTTAGGTGGATATTGTGTTCTGTTGCTTTCTGGAATCGTTGTGGCACATTGATGTGTCCTGTTCATCAGCTGCCACCCTCCATCAGAGAAGGAGCAGCTTTTTCGATTTACTCCAGTATATGTGCAGTTAATATGGTCATCAAGAATGCATTATAAGTATAGGTGAATAATTTTTGACTGAGTGAAAGCTGGGGTGAGCCTATTTGGAGGGGATTAGAGAGTATTAAATTAGAGGAAATGAGCCAAGATGACCCATTTAGGTATAAAGTTTCCAGATCAAACCAGAGAGATCTTTTAAAAAGGATAAGTGGGCATTGTGGTTTCAGAAGGGGAAAGAAGAAAACAGAGTGTTTTGGTTTTGTTTTTTTTTTTTTAAAAAAAAGTTTTAACTTAAATACTGAATAAGATTAAAATTGAACGATCTTAAAACTATCATGGTTAGAGGGTAGTCTGTCTACTTCTACCGTGGGGCAGCATCCTCTGTCAGAAGAGCAAAGTAGGCAGCTGGCTGCAGTTACCATTTCACCTACCTAAATTTTATCCGCAGTTGGATGAGAGTCAGTACTCGAGAGGAATTTGAGGCATGGTATGAACACAAGATTCTTGATTTTGGTCTCATAAGAATTAGTTATTTATCTGAAACTAAGTCCTTCTGTAGCCAATGCAAGTATATCTCTGTTAGATTCTCCATAAATATAATGGGAGTAATTACTTGTACTTCACAGGCTCACAGCAGTATTGATTAATTAATATGTGTTAATAGTGAGATATGACCATCAATATTTGTGTTGCATCTTTCAAATTATCTCTCAGAATATGATTTCTGATAGAGCTGGACAGTTTCAACATCGTCACTTAAAGTTTACCTGAACTATTAGGCTCTTGCTTATGAATCTAACTACCAGCAATGACAGAGCTGTCTTGGGAGTGAGTAAAGCCTGCTGAGTGGAAAGAAAATCAGTGTGAGTAATGCAGATGAAAAAGGTCTAGAATGAAGCCTTGCCATCATTTAGGAAAAACAACAGAAAGAAGGGAATGGCTATGCGAACGATACAAAAGTCAGCACACATTGAAGAACAGACAGTGGAGTTACAGCGGCTAAAAAAGTCACCACATGGCTGAGCTGTGTTAACTGTCCAACTTCCTTGAAACGTGACATGAAACATGTTAATTAAACTTGGGTGAAAGAGGCCTCAGCTGATTTGCTCCTTTTGTCTTCGGTGACAAGATATCATGTAAATAGTTGGTGGCTGTAGGCATGTTCAGTTGGCATCTTAAGCTTCCTTAACTGAAACAATGTCTTGTCTGAGCCCTTAGTTTTACTTTAAGATAAATCAGATGAGTTAAATCATGATTTCACAGGCAGCTGAGCCACTCTGAAAGGGACCTAAAAGAAAACTTATTGCATGTGTGCCTCTTATGCCTGCTTCTGCTTTTGGCCAAATTGGCTTGTCCCCATCTGTTGAGTTGGCAATAGCAATCATTAGAGCCTTCTCTAAGCTAATTCATCTCACTAACCCAGACAGAAACTAGCTATGGGTGGGTTGGCTGCTTGGTTGATTGGTCTTCCTGCTGGGTTAATGAACTGAACTGGTCTGTGGAGATCTCCCCTAAGTCTTGGAGCTGTGCAGAAGGGCAGAACATTAGGTTATAGGTCAGTTCACCATCTCTTGTGCATCAGGACTTGCATCTATAGGTGTTCTCCTGCTCTGAGCAGGACGTGGAAAGATTTTGACTTGCCCTGAGAATGTAGACTGGGTCTTCTTTATGCCGTGAAAGAGAAAATTTCCCTAGTTGAGGTCTGGGCTACACAAAGTGATGTTTGTTGCTTGAAGAGCATTAATTAGGACATGTTTCTTTCTGAAATTCTTTAAATAAAATAAAACTCTAATATGGAAGCAACTGTGGCCAAAAGCCCGTGTTTCTGCCATTATGATTTATATTGTTCAGGGAGCTGCTGTTATCGATTCCCAAGTTGTTCTGCAAGTACAATCTTTATGTCTTTACTAAGACTGCATGCCGGTAAAACTACACTTGCAAACTGTTTTCTGGTGGAAAAAAAAAATTTGCTTTGTAGTTAAGTGCAAAATTGGGGGTATATAAGTTTCAGTTATTTGCTGGGTTTGCATTTTAGTTTTCTGAAGTAACAAATTTCTCTTTGAGGAAAGTGTGTTGATTGGTAACTGCTGGCGATAGATCACGAGGGCGAAAGAAGGTGCCTGAAATACTTCAGAATGTCTCTTTTTCTTTACGTGTGGAAGAGAGGTGGTGGAAATCCTGGTGATGGCATTGCTTGAAACTTGTCCTACACCTTGTCATATTTGATGCTATAGATGGACCCTGTAGGATGGCTGTGTGGTGAGATAATGCTCAAAGTTTGGCCAGGCACTTGGTCTGCCTTCTTGCAGAGTGCCTGTGTGATTTTGAACAAGTCATTTTGACTTGTCTGAAGGCTATCCCCTTTCTGTGAGCTGTTGGTCTCAAAAATTAGCATGATTTTAATTCCCCACCTCACAGGGATATTCTATAGAAAGATGTGTTTCAAGTATTTACATACTCCACCTAGCAGAATTATTAGAGAAGAAATCTGAGATTCTGTCTGGATTTTAATAAAGGATTGGTCAAATTCTGAAGTGAACTGGAGGAGGCAGAAGTCAGCAGTATACCTACCTGTGTAATCTTGACAGCTGAAAATATGTGACTTGCCAGTCAGGTGTCACAGGCCTACATCTCAGTTTTATTGCCACGATGGCACTGTTTCTTCGTGTGGGTTAAAGACAGCATTTCAGTGTGTTGGTGAGATTTGCTTAGCTGTGTAACTCAGACACACAAGTCTGCCCTGATTCTGTTACATTGCTTATATATCCAAAGTTTAGTCTTCAGCTCCCAAATCCAAGAGCTCCTCCTTTGCTCTTGGCACAGGTTTGGGCTTTGGGCCCTGGTTCA